GGGTTTTTCTTCCGAATAACACTATATATAAAAGACATTGTTTAGAGATCAGACACTAGGTGCTGAAAACATTCACACTTATGTAAACCGCATCGTATATATTTCAAGCTGTTTAACTATCTGGTATCCCTATCTATCAATCAAAATGATTTAGATCAGAAGAAAACGGGAAAAGTTTCAAGGATCCATAAGATTTGAATTAAGGATTTGACAAGACAAAGAGTACTGTAAAAAAAAAATATATAATTTTTCATGTATCAAGTATATACATTATAAACATTTATCCTCCATGGCCCATTATTTGTCACCCCCCCCCCCCCTTCCCCCTGAAAAAATGCTCTTGAAAATTTTGTAGCATTTACATAGTTTTATACCCTTCTGGATAAACACAGGTTCTCATATTTTGTCATATCATCAATATCTTCAATCCTATTAAAATGGTGTGGTTGTGTAACGACTAGAAGGTTTCAACGAGCTCTGCTATTATTAAGTGTAAAGGACTCTAACTGTTTATGGTCCCGTATTGAGTACAGATTTTATTACGGACGGATGAACACTAAACTTTTATTGTCAATGGTCGATGAAGTTTATTGTTTAAATTGAATATAGCTGTTATATGAAGTGATTTTATCGGCACTAGAAGTCTTTTGAAAGATACAATCTGCGCATACTACTGGCCTGTGAATTGTAGCGACGAAGGCTTAGATAGGAATGTACTGGCGACATTAGATTTCCCCGCAGGCGTTACATTTCTTTATGTACAGCGATAATCCTAAACTCTTATACCAAAACGTAGATGTCTAGAGAAACAATCGGGGAAATCAGACATGAGGGTAGTGAATCTAAAAATATAGTGCACATCTATACGTATTACTCGAACTTAAATCACTACGGTGAAAGTTATTTTCTAATGTTTTAACTCCATTGAAATTGAATTTGAAATTGTGATTAAGATATATTGTCTCTGTAGAACTACTGATTGGTGCAAAATCTTATAAATATCTTTAATCTTGGGCACAGTTATTTTTGTGTTAATTTTCTTACATTTTCTTTCCATTTAAAATAGTAATCAAAATGATGACTTGTCTGTTATATTGCTTGGAGTTGAATTTCACAATTTCTTATTGATTTTAAGAATGATTTCATTTCACAAAATCTGCTGTGCATGCACACAAACTTAACTTTCTGCATTAACCAAGTTCCATGGTACGCACACAAACCAAAATGTCCAGACTAACAAGGTTCCACTAAACACATAAACCAAAATGTCAAGACTAACAAGGTTCCTCTAAACACGCAAACCAAAATGTCCAGCCGAACAAGGTTGCACTAAACACACAAACCTAAATGTCCAGACTTACAAGGTTCCACTAAACGCACAAACCAAAATGTCAAGACTAACAAGGTTCCTCTAAACACGCAAACCAAAATGTCCAGACTTACAAGGTTCCACTAACCGCACAAACCAAAATGTCAAGACTAACAAGGTTCCCCTAAACACACAAACCTAAATGTCCAGACTTACAAGGTTCCACTAAACGCACAAACCAAAATGTCAAGACTAACAAGGTTCCGCTGAACACACAAACCAAACTGTCCAGACTAACAAGGCTCCACTAAACACACAAACTAAAATGTCCAGACTATCAAGGTTCCACTAAACCCACAAACAAAAATGTCCAGACTAGCAAGGTTCCATTAAACACAAAAACCAAAATGTCAAGACTAACAAGGTTCCATTAAACACACAAACAAAATGTCCAGACTAGCAAGGTTCCATTAAACACAAAAACCAAAATGTCAAGACTAACAAGGTTCCCCTAAACACACAAACCTAAATGTCCAGACTTACAAGGTTCCACTAAACACCCAAACCAAAATGTCCATAATAACAAGGTTCCACTAACCACACAAACCAAAATCTCCAGACTAACAAGGTTCCATTAAACACAAAAACCAAAATGTCAAGACTAACAAGGTTCCTCTAAACACGCAAACCAAAATGTCCATAATAACAAGGTTCCACTAGACACACAAACCAAAATCTCCAGACTAACAAGGCTCCACTAAACACACAAACCAAAATGTCCAGACTAACAAGGTTCCACTAAACACACAAACCAAAGTGTCCAGACTAACAAGGTTCCACTAAACACACAAACCAAACTGTCCATAATTGTTTTTTCAGCTTTAGAAGATCATATAAATATAGGGCATGAAATTACACGCTTGACACTATTAAATAATTGAAAAAACAGTCTTTGTTTTGAATATTTTTCTGGTTATAGCTTAATTCCTTACATTGAATACATCATAAAATGTCTTTCTTGGGGAATTTCTTATACAGCTCTGTTATATAATCATAGGGACATTCTATAATAATTATATCGGTTCTATGATATTGTCAGAGAGCCAACAGGATGTTTGGGACACCTGCGCTGACAATAGAGCAATGCTGCATGACCTGGAACAATAGAACAAGGTATACGTGTGTACAAGACCGATACATATCAAAATCAGCTTTAATCCTTTCACCACTGTAGACCATAAAGGACTCATCCAGATCAATGCATGGTAGAGTCTACTAAAGTTATATAGGGGTGACACGGTTCAGGATCCCTGTCCCACTGTACTATGGTGTTTTCGTATATACAGTACCCTCCCCTTTATTTATATCTGCGATATCCTCTTGGATATAACTGTAGCACAGTTTACAGAAGCATGGTAGTCTAGTGGTATGACGCCAGGCTCATGACCAAAGGGTTGTGGGTTCGAGTCACGTCGCGGCACTGTGTTGTATTTAAACAAGATACTTTACTTCGCTTGTTCCAGTCTACTCAGCTGTAAATGAGCATGTGGTTGGGCAGTGCTAGAACTGTTGAATGCTAGCTGTGAGCGTGGAAATGGCAGCACCAGGCCAGCCCACTGTATGCTCCCCAGGAAGTTGAGAAAGATGTTGGCTGGCTGCAACGGCCCTATAACCACAGATAAAAACTGCTTTGTGACGACCTAGGAACAAGGTTGTGATAACATAAAGTGGTAAAAAGAACCTCAAATTATTATTATTATTTAGTTGGCCAGGACATTTCTGTTGACCTGCTGGTGGCTCAGTCCGTTAGAGCAATATACAATCTGAAGCACAGGGTTCTAATCCTGGTCTAGTCCATTGGATTTTTTTTTTTCACATGCAAAACATTGTTGTTGATTATATTATGTTTATTTCACCTATTATTTTTCATAAAAGTCCCGCAAGGTATGGTTTTCTGTACAGAAATGATTTATTAACGCTATAATCATGGTGGCAAATATATTTACAGTTTTTGGCAGTGGTACGAGGATCCGCAACTCATTCACCACTGAAAATTTCATAATATAAAATATCTTACACCGATATATTACAACAGAGTAAGTAACATGAATATGAGAGTATTGTGATGACGATTCTTGATGGGAACGAAAATAGTTCTTTAATTTTTTTTTGTAATTTTCTTTCTAATCATTAACTCATGAACCCCTGAAATTTCGTAAATGAACTATTCCAACCTTTGAATTGGAAGAGTTTAAATGTGTCTTCAGGGGTGAATGAGTTATTAATAATTGCCTTGTTGGCCTAGTTTATATATATTACTGCCACTTTTATTAAGCAAAATATGAGAACTACAAATAGGTTATGAAATATAGCGAAGAAAACATGTGAAAGAGTATTTGTTAAAAGTAAAAAAGGAACTTGAAATATATTTGCAGGATGGGCTGTAAATGAATTTGATGGACATCTTATTGTGGTAACGATATTAAATCTCGTTTAAGCAGTTAAGCTTAGAGATGGTTATTCCTATTTATAAGTGTAATATTAATTTACCATGGCATTAATCTTAGTTTAGTGGTTAAATTCAAATTCATTGCCAGTAAAAACGAAGTATCGAGCTGCTTCAGGAAAATGGTGAAATAATGCAAATTTGAGATCTATAAGAGGTAAATATTATATCATAGATTTTTGTGCAAAATATTTGGATTTCCTGTAGCTAGAAAACGTGTCTAAAAGTACATCGGGCAGATCGCTACAACTTTAAACAAATGTACATTTGACAGATGTTACCTGGAGATCCGATAAAAGTACACGGCCGACCACCGCCTTCTGTTCTAACAAAAGTACACGAGGCCAACCACGACAATGATTGTTCAACACACATAATAACCCAAATGAGCTATAAATAAATTATCTTTGGTGTTGAAACAGTAATTCGTTCCAAAGCCTCACAACTCTTCTAGGATTGTGATTGGTTGCGGAAGGTGTTAACCAGCCCTAAGTAATAAATCATAAGGTTTTGTTTCCATTGACTTCAAAGCTATACCTCTTCAAGGGTTGTGATTGGTTGTGGAAGGTGTTGACCAGCCTTGACCAATTCCATTTCTGACAGACTCAATATTCCCCTAAGTAATAAGTTATAAGGTTTTGTTTTCATTGACCTCAAAGCTGTACTATGCAGGACACATTGGAGGCTGTGGGGTATTGGTCAGTGAACCCTGACCATTTCCTAGCTAGGTCTCATGACCTCTATCTGACCTTGGTTCATCCTATTTTGGCTTAATTGTCTTAGACTGGAACAAACACTAAGGGACACATAGAGTTTCAAAATCCAGAGTATGTGCCATATTTACTTTGTTTAATTACCTATATCATCTAATAGCTCTAATGGTATTTTAACTAATTTGCGCAATTTCTGTCCTTTGATCAGCTAGTTTCCCATGCCAGAACATTGTGACTTAAGTACCTATACCATTTAGCAGATCCTAGGTTATTGTGACTTATTTACTAGGCTAAGTCTCTATATCGCCTAGACGAGTCTGTTGCGTGCATGGACACAAATTACTTGGTATGTATTCTTAAACGACTCGCCTAACATGCAAACGGGAAATGTATATCTGAGCGTCAAGTCTGGCATGCAAGCTACCCATTTTGTTCAAAAAAGGAATCGGCATGGATTATTAATGTTACATACCTGGATCCGTCCCGTGTTGGGGGAAAAAAAATTCCCAAATGGTGTGAGGATTCGATGTTGATTAAAATATCGCAGTAACGGAAAGGGGTTAATTCCCATATTCCATCACCAAAAAAATCTGTGTTTAATTTCACACATAGTCCGATTTCACAGATGTCATTAATAGGAATTGAACCCTAATGTGACTCGAATGACAGAAAAATTAAAACCAAGTTCATTCTCACCTTGCAAGTGAAACTAAATGAACATCACACTCTTTTCCAAAGAGCTTGGTTTTCACTTCTGGGTGTATGCTCTCATTAGAAATTTATCATGTGCCATTGGTCTTTAATCCAAGTAACAAGGAAGCCATCTGCCCCCTCCAAGAGCACTGTCCTTCGTGATTGTCATGCTAATTGCGTTCCTGATCAATAGATCCCTTCAGCATATTCTACAGATCCTTGTATAGTCATCTTTAACGGCTTCTGGCATATTCCGTTTGTCAATCAGGCACAATGAAATCCGTCAGGGCGCCGTCAGGTCATGTGACGAGGAGCGACATCAGATTTCATTATAATTTGGTACTCTCACCACCGTCCAGACGCCTGCGACAAAATATTACCAGAAAATGCTCCACGTGATTTCAACTCGTTTGGACGATACTCCTGAGACAAATGCAGACTAAATGTAAAGAAAGAAAGAAATTGATTTGATTGGTATAACTCTGGGAAGTTTACAGGATGTCAGTCACTACAGTATGTAGAAAACAACGGTACTAAAACGGTTCTCTCGGTTCATTCCACAGATCAATACTGGAGTACTTGCCTGATGTATGTACCACACTTTTTAAGAACACATAAAACACATCACAGAGAAGTCACCATACCACATGTACTACAATGAGAAATCCGACTGTCTTATACATTTCAGATGGACAGAAGTAGAGTGTCCTTAAGTTTTCCGACTTGTCCAGCCGAGGTCTCATTGATAGAACATGGCTATGTTTTGGTCCGTCACATATATAGATTACCTAGGGTCACCAAGTTCCTTCATGTAAATTTAACGTCCCTGTGTGTAAACCTAGAACTTCCTATACTGGTCCCCGTACAGTCACACCTTCCACATGTAAATTTCGCACGTGATTCAAATTTCGTATTTATACCCACAATTTTGACCTCATGTACATACCAGGTGCAGACTTTATTGAAATGTACCCCTATAAGACATGTTTATACATTTTTTTTGTTTTATGAGTGGGTTTCTGTCTTCATGAGATTTCCGCTTGAGTGATACCCATGTTTTCTTCGCTTCACTGGTCCTCAATGTGGGCACAATAGATAGATGAGCCCTTATCGTGTCGAGCCGTTACCTGCGCCTTTGTTCTTGGGTACCGATCAAAACTGTGTTGTAGCAGGATTTGGTTACTAAACCACCTGAGGTTTAATGGGCAACACACATGCAAGCGGATGTCTGGGGCAGGATATACTGCTTTTGTACATGCACCCAACCTGGTGTAATTCTACCGTTTCTCAAAACATCATACGAAATGTGGGAAAAAAATCTGTCAGAACTTTTTTGTAAAAACTTGTAAAAAGACTTGTAAAACACATTTTGTAATATTGACTTCAAAGCTTATTGAAACATTTGGAACATTTGTCTTGAAGACTTGTAGTAAACAACATGTAATATTAACTCCGAAGCCAACCGACATCTGATAAGCCACGCATGCACAGTCATCATGCGATGTCATTTTTCCTTTCTGAAACCCATCATTTTTCCTTTTTGAAACCCAAGACAGAAATAGAATATGTGAACACCAAATGTGATTGCTGATATGCGAGACCCTTTCATGACATTTGTCATGTAGAAAACGTAGAAGTACATCGTCAGTAATAAATCTGGGTGTGAAGGGAACATCTGATATGGCCATCCTACATTAGTCAAAAAGACAGCATGTAATTCATCTTGAAGAAAACCTAGAAAGGCACAATAGTGCTATCGGATATTCCTCTAGCTTCTCCTAACTGTGTCGTAAATCGTAAGTATAAATCGTAAATCGCTAGTCATCCCTCACAATTGTTTGTCACAAATCTGAATCAAAACAGCTTTTTAAAAATTTGATATAATGCCATTCCTATACAAATTTTTGTATTTAATAGCATCTATAACCACATTTCTATATCTGAAGCAGAGAGTTACAGTTTATAATATGTTATAACAGCTACTAATTCAGGTTTCGTCTAATGTACCAATCCTGTCAAAGTAAGATAGAAAAGATTTAAAAAACAGATTCACAGTATTAAATTGGATCAGATTCACGATATTAGATGGGATAACTATCTTTTAGATACTTCGATCATCAGTGAATGGAGATCGTGGCTGTAAATATGCATCATTTACAGATAAGCTCGCGAGCAAATCTCTTGGCGGTTTAATTTGAAGCGAGCCATATACAAAAAAAATGAAAAGTTAATTAAAAAATTATAGTATTATCATCTTTTAGATAACATCTTTGAATGAGTATCTCCCTTTTATAAAGTATCTACAGAAAATAAAACCAATGAATATTTAGGGTCTATTTTATGTAACCATATTACCGAAGTATGTCATCAAAATTGAAAAGCAGATTTGTCGTTAGATAAAAGTTTCATTGATTTTCAAACAAATACCTTATCAGGGATTTAAAATCAGCTGTGAGCTTTTAAAATATACATGATCAAATGTATAGTTGAATAGCTTCATATAAAGTCAATGTAAGCCATTTAAATAGAAAATTTATTTGTGTAATCCATCACAGGGAATTTACATGGGTTTTCTCCGGGTGCTCTGGTTTCCTCCCACATTCATAAACACCCCCCAGCGCACTAGCATACGGGCTAACAAGAGTGATTAATATAAGTTGTGATAAGTTGTTGCATAATTGTTGTAAAATAAATAAAGTTTAAATATGTATATACATGGAGTTAAGAGAGCAGCCTGCATAAAATGTTACATCATTTCATATAGTCTTTATATAATTATATTCTTAAAACGGCTGTATATCACTAAAATTCAAAGCATCTTCAAAAATCTTATTGAATCATTTTGATATGATTCAATGTGTAGAACTAGACTTTGGCTGTACAGATATAGATGACCATCATTATGACTAGTGGGTTATTGTTTCAAAATCTATTTTGAGGGAGATAAAATCGACCACTAAATACCTATTGGTCTCTGGTATTTGGGGGAGAGAATACTGAACGTCACAATTTTAACAAAAGACTGTTTAAAAGATTTCGCTGTGTTTAAGAACCAAATGACCCTTTCCTGTGATGTTTACCTGATATTTTTTTACCTGTGTGTATTCATTAGATCTCCTCGATCACCTGAAGAACTTTTAAATTCAGACCTTCGATAGAATCATTAAAATCTCATCTTGCTATCACTCGATCGGGAACCTTGGACGGTGATAGATCACATTTTAACAAAAACAGCAGGAACCCGATCGGTTATATAATAAAAACTCTGATAAACAAACACGGTGTGAACTCGATCAATGATGTAACGAAACACAGAGGGGAAGTGTGAGACTGACTGACACACTAATCAAAGGACACTGCAGTCGTAAAAACGGATAACGAGGTTGTCATGTTTTTTGCCGTAGATAATTAATATCCCACCTTCATGTAATCAAATCTCTCCTCGACTCACACCTGGAGACATACTGAGAAGGCATACCTGGGCCAGTAGTAATTACCTTACAATATCATTAGCAGCAGGAGCATTGTCGGGTGTGCATGAAAATTGAGTTATCTTCCCCTTGTGAATGTCAGGCTTGTTTATTCAAAAACATATCTTGTTGTGGCGAAATAAAACCACAAGTGAAAAGACAGCTTTATGATTGTGTTACCCTTGATTGAAAATATAAACTCTGCTATGGCAATATACTCACTTTGTGTCATGTTTGTCTGTAAAAGTTTTTTGAATAATTTCATTGTTATTTCCAAAACAAAAAGGAAGTGAATATTGACTCTAGTACAAGATATAAAAAAAATAAAAATGTTTTTACTGGGGCACAATTAACAAAAAGAAAAACTGAAGATGTCATTACAATTAACAATTGCTATTTCCATAAACTAACATTGAGGAATATACAATGCTGAAAATATTAAGTACCATGTGGATTTTAGAAGTAATTGTTTCTATATGTTTTGACAGAATACATAGGCGTCTTCATCATTTCATGTTTTTGTTCTTTAAACATTCCTTTTTATATGTTACAAACTATAAAACTCATTTTGGAGCAAATATTGTCACAACCATATAGTCTTAATGATAGCAACTTTAACTTTGTGGCTGTGGTATTTTGTTAATGATGACGGCCATTTTCATAACCTCCCGTGATAAACAGAATGAAAGCTGAATCATTATTAATTCTTCACAATTTCTGTAAATTGGGCAATAAATGTCAAGCTTACCTGCAGTTAATTTTAACGAAGCACCTCATTAACTCCTTAAACATATATATCCTTTCCTGTGGTCCTTTTTTATTGTCATTCTGTGTATAGAAGGATCAAAGATTCGGAGGCACAACCACAACACCAGCACACATGGATAATTCCCGTTTTATGTTTTACGGACTGAGTTGACTAGGATTATAAGCGTAAACCAGGGACACCTGCCCGAGTGGCCGAGGCGAGATGGTTACAGGTGTATATAAGTGTACGTTGGTCACGGGTCACTTAATACACGTCTTGGTTGACTTAAGTAAATACTTCATATCTGTTCCCTCTGACACCTATTTGTGGCTTCAAGCTACAGACCGAAGTCCAGGTGTTGGGTCTCGACACCTTCCCTATAGACAACAGTCAGTGGGGGTCACACACCCTTGAATACACCATCAACTGATCTCGCTGATCTGCCGTTTGGCCTGTATAAGGGTTTTCTCTCTAATTGAATGCCCCGGAGGATGATGGCATCTACAGGGGTAACAATAATCACACTAAAAATACGGGCTGGTCAACACAAGTGATAACAGGAGCCTCATGATCAATATTAAACCACCTTCTACTGAACGTTGGGGGGGGGGGGGGGGGGGAGGGGAAAAAAATAAAAACTTCTGTCCTTTATTAAAATTGAAGCTCCACGTACATTACTTTTTACTTTAAGAATTTGTGTTACCTGTGTAAACTGAACTTTGAGTAATATGAAAACCTATATTAACCAGACCCTTTGTATAACATATCACGTCTATGTTAATTCAACCCATGAAATCCAAAGACGGAAGAATTGATCATGTGTACTGGTGTACGTATATATAGCCTGTCTAAATCGAACTCTGTCTTACCCAGAATCCTTTGTGAATGAGAACTTTGCCTCTAAGGTCCCATGTTTTTCTATTAAATTCGAACCTGCAGGTTAATTCCAAAACCTATGTCTTAGGAACTAAATATTTCTGTATCTCATATAGCTCTCACTGTACCGTATTGGACCGAATAAGCAATCTGGGCACTATAAGAAGTTGGGGGAAATATGACTGACACATTTCAAAAATGATGAAAAATTAACCATAACGACTTTATTTTGTATATAAATTACAAAATTATGACAAAAGGATGGCAATCACTGACCAACCAGACAAAAAAGGATAGGGGGCGCTTAATTGAGATGGGGTGTTTTTTGGTTGGACTACGGTATTGTGAAAAGTACTTGATATTGCAAGAGTAACAGGATTTTTATTTTCGATATTTCTAACTATTGGTAAATCTGAATTAGTCCTTAAAAGGAAATGTACGTGATACATCAACGAGTTCAATAAACATAACGTAAAAAGTTACTGTGGATAAAAACAGGCAACATATTCAGAATATTGTATAAACGATACATTGAAAATAGCTCAAGGGAGATCCCTGCAAATGAAACAGGGAAATGAAATATTTAACAAAAATTATTTCAGATCTGTGATGTAGCAAAAAAACCACTTGGATTTTAATTTTTATATCACAGATATCATAGGTTAATCCTTGAGGAAGCAAATTAGACTCGGGTATTGTTCAATTGAGAAATACATAAAACCTAATTTATCCGTAAAGCTCTGATATCACAAGGTAACTAGACTTTGTTAACTTGAACGTAATAAGTGACTGACTTTTATTTCGCATTCTTAACAAGCACCTGTTCTCCATTGCATCACGCTTACAGCAGCCCAGGGGTGATCTAGCCATGTGCTTTGTTTTAAAGATACATACATTTTTACTGTTACAGAATATACATAGAGAGAGAAGGGAGCCGTGATGGCAGGAATAGCGACCGAGATCAGAATAAAAATAAGGTTGTTAAGTGTAAATACAGTTGTACATTTTCACAGGTGTGAATTCATTATTAGTCTGAATTCTCACCTCTCTAAGATAAATGAAAATATCTTCGGAACTCTATAGGTGGCAGCGGGTTACCTGACTAACGAGGCAAGCTACAGGTATTGATGACAGAAATTAACAGGTAACTTACAACTGTAAGCACCTAACTTCCACAAAGACAGTGTTAATTCTGACGATTAAGTAATACTAGACCTCTTAGCTATTCACCAGTCTTATTTCAGACTGAACCAAGTGTATTGTCGGCCATCTATTAGTACCAGTCGTTAGTGCCGATGATTGGCTTCGGGATTCAATTATCTTGTTTTACTGCCTTCGCTCAGTAAATATCCAGGTGTTCTGTGAGCCGTTTTCCCATGGGTGTACATTTTTTACCTTAAGGAGAAGCAGTCTATTAATTATTACAGCTAGAACACCTACATAAAGTTACTAAACTCGGTGGATGTATTTTGTTTGGTACAGATCCCTGTAATGGAGACTGATGCTCGGAGCTAGAATACCACCGCATTCAAATGAACTCGTAAAAATTGTACCTACTTTACGTTGTTTGCTGCAAAGTTTATTTGTAAGAGATTTGTAACCAGAACCTTCTCATCAAATGGGTAAATGTCTTGAGCTCGGTAATAAAAATGGTTGAAATGTCATTATATATCTGTGATGTACGATCTTGTATGGGCTTTCAAATTGATATAAAACTGTTAAATGATAGCAAACATTTATAAGGGTTAATACCACATATAATTCTGTAAAGTAAGTTAAATTTAGATTTAGATTGTGAAATAATTTATAATATTTGGGGTTTATTTTACTAGAAATGTTATTTGAATCATTATTTTAATGGCAGATTTAGATCATTCACTGATAACAAATTTAATGAGGTTTAAAAAAAAAAAAAAATGGCAGATGAGTTTGTTTTGAATAAACACTGAAGACTTCAAAGTAAGAATGTAGAAACAGGAAAAAAATATTATGTGCTATTTTCCATATGTGTTTGAAAAATGTCTTTATTTAATTAATTCACCCCTACATATTAAAAATGGACTTGCCCAGTCATTGATTTGGTAAGGTTCAAATGTGAATTTAGGGGTGAATGGGAGGGTGGTAAATCAGAGCTGTAACACAGGACATAAAGGGAGAGGGGGGGAGGGGGATAAATCATTTATTTGGGATACTACCAGGTGTAAACATTTGCAGGTAGAGGGTTCAGAAAGGTGTCTTGATTTATACCTAATGGAGCAAGTACGCCCATAACAGTTTCAATGTCATTCAGGGAACACTGAGATAAATGGACCATGTTTGTACATATCTGTAATAAATTACAGGCTGGGATGTGTCGGCTAAATCACTGTAAATTCTGTGGGTTTTTTCAGCGTGTAGGTGAGAAACTTGGAGCCATTTCAAGTTTTTTGTCAATATTGTATCCCAGATACTGAAGTTCTATTTCACTATTTTAACTACAAATTTGTATCCCTAAATATTACAGCTTTAAAGAACTTGACAGTTGTCAGTTGTATACTCCTACCAGACAACTTTTCATTTGTGAAAAATACTGGTAAGGAATAAAACTAAATTATTACATATCTGTTTGGATGACATTCATGGAAACATTGACTTCACGATGAACAATTAAACAAAACAGTCGATTAGATTTATTTGAACGGAGATTGAGAAAAGATTACCTTAACAATTTAAGTTATAACATCTAAAATACATACAGTACGGCATAATTTTTTAAAGGGAAAACAAAATAGAAAACAATTTTACCAATATAAATATATTAAAGGGACAAAATCAGAGGTTGATACGCGGGATTCACTACGGGACACCTGGAGCACAGTAAACGAGTGTTGTCTGACGGCCAAGTGTTTCTATGATATTGTCTGACGGCCAAGGGTTTCTATGATATATTGTCTGGCGGCCAAGTGTTTCTATTATATATTGTCTGGCGTCCAAGTGTTTCTATGATATATTGTCTGGCGGCCAAGGGTTTCTATGATATATTGTCTGGCGGCCAAGTGTTTTTATGATATATTGTCTGACGGCCAAGAGTTTCTATGATATATTGTCTTACGGCCAAGTGTTTCTATGATATATTGTCTGACGGCCAAGTGTTTTTATGATATATTGTCTGACGGCCAAGAGTTTCTATGATATATTGTCTGACGGCCAAGTGTTTCTATGATATTGTCTGACGGCCAAGTGTTTCTGTGATATTGTCTGACGGCCAAGTGTTTCTATGATATTGCCGTATGATATACTGTCTGACGGCCAAGTGTTTCTATGATATACTGTCTGATGGCCAAGTGTTTCTATGATATTGTCTGACGGCCAAGTGTTTCTATGATATTGTCTGATGGCCAAGTGTTTCTATGATATTGTCTGACGGCTAAGTGTTTCTATGATATTGTCTGACGGCCAAGTATTTCTAACGATATTGTCTGACGGCCAAGTATTTCTATGATATTGCCGTATAATATACTGTCTGACGGCCAAGTGTTTCTATGATATTGTCTGACGGCCAAGTGTTTCTATGATATTGTCTGACAGCCAAGTGTTTCTATGATATACCGTACACAGAAATACAATTGTACCAGTACATGACTGTGAAAATCCATCAGTAGATAACTCGACTACAAATATAATATTTCCCTAAATTATACTTGTTGATATTGTATAAAGGGTTCTTTACATGCTCTTTCGAAAAATAGGTGCAGACAATAGGAACAGGCTTAGAGCAAAATGCAAAATGTTTAATACATGGAGGGGACGTGTCCTAAATTTGCGTAAATTGGCCTTTTGACCATTGACAGGGTTTCAGTTTTGATTGAACAACATTTTTCAATGTTCATGCTGGTATGAATGCAAATCAGTTACATATATATTCCACGGAAATATGCATTCCATACCTAAAAGATAATATTACCTGAAATAAAATCACCTCAAAAACATTATATCTAAATGAATAAAGTTACCTCTAAAGTAATATTTCCTAAATATATTACTTCAAATAACACTACCCTTAAAAAAATATTACTTCAAAATTATTATTACCTGAACCTAAACATTTTGTTACCTCAAAAACAAAAAAATGCTACCTCAAAAATATAACATCACTTTAATATTACCTCAGAAACAATTTTACCTTGGTTAGTATCACCTTGAAATTATAACTTTACCTCAAAAATTTGTAATACAGCTATACAATAGGTGGTTTAGCTGAAGTTTAGTAGTCAGAAACAAGAACAAATATACCGCGTTTTTACAATGACTATGACATCTTTTACAGGAGTTTTATCACCGCTAAAGTAGCCAGGCTTATTATATACAAACTATAGCATGCAAAAGGAACATTTATTCATCAAGGAAGACAG